TTTGCATTCTATATTAATAGTCTTATGCTAAGGAAACACAAAAACACGCATTCTTTGGACAGTCAAATTATGGAAAATTATGCAACTAATGATATTTCTGAAAATTGTTTTCTGTACCGAAATAAAAATTAATTTAATTTAATTAAATAAAATTATGAAAAGTACACTGGAATCACATTTATTTGCATAGCATTCAACAGCAATCTTAAAAGGCCTAACTACAATTTGTAGGGCTTTTTAACAATTGTTTAACATCTTAGAAGCGATATGGAGCTCTACTTCAAAGTAATGCGAAAGCACTTCCGAAATAGAGATACGTCCGGGAAGAGGAATGTTTTAGTCCCACAAACCTCCCTGCGACGGCAGATCGAAATCATTTCCCCTTCTTAACTCGAAAAAAATGTGGAAAAATTGATTTAGCAAACATTTGTATGCAAATATAAATTGTCATTTCAACATTTGGCATACCAGCATAATTTTACTTCCCTGCAAAACTACAAAAATAAGAGAGACTGACTAGACCTAATCTTAAAGGCGAAATTGATTTTTAAGAACAGTCTTCTAGTTTTACATGACATACGATCATCATTATTTCTTTGTTCAACTTGAAATCGATGAACATCTTCATTCATCAATTGAAACCTTCCATATCGGAGCGTATGGCTATCTAATGAAGTTTGTGAAAGCGTTTGCAGTCGTTTCAAGGTTTTATAATATGTGCTGTCATTGCCTGCCTCATCTACTCCCACACTATCTTCAACTCCTTTGAGCCTTTGTGTTGCGTAATTATGGCGTAGACAAGTCACAGAACTTTCGCACTTGGCGCAAAGGAAAGGGAAATGAAAGGGAAATTCATCACACAATGCCGTTGTCGAGTGCCACCAACTGTCATCGTGTCATGTGTGGCGGCGGCGTTCCTCTGCATTTATGTTAGTATATCAAACATAATTAAGGAGTTCCCCAGGACCCTTGCTCGCACACACGCACGATTACTTGACAATAAACAGAAGTTTAATTATTTTGCAAGTTGTGAGAGGCCTCGGGCCGGGCAAGTGATTAAGCCTCCAGATGAAGAAGACGACGAAGAAGATGTCGACGCGTGTGCATAGTAAGGTTCACCTTTTGACTTATGATGACTCTGGTTATTTCTGCGTCTGATACTGTTGCCGACTTGCCTGATGTATTGCTTGATTTATGACATCTGACAGCTGACAACTAGCAGGCACCACCGATACTAACACCAAAACCAACGTTATCAGCATAGCAGCCTTAAAGCCAATGGATTACTCAGGTCCCAGTGCATGCGATGCCGCTTTAATTACTCGAAAATTAAACAAGTTTTTAGCATATTTTGCATAAATCAAACAATTAGTCACGCCGACAACATTACGGCTCGAGACTCCCTCAAAAACTATTGTCCACTTTTTGGCAAGGATTTTCTCTTAGCCTTTTGGCCTAATGTCTCCCTGTGGTGTTGTTCTGAGCGTCGTCTTACAACACCTTCTTACACTCGGAGAAAATAGTATCTTGTAGATTTCAAAAATTTTATACTACAATCAAAATTTTCTATGAATTATGAATGATTTTTAAAAAAATAGGCTGATACTCAAAAATAAATGAAAGATTAAAAAAAACACTAATAAGGTTATTAATAAAAAGAACCTTTATGTAAAAAAAAGAATACCACAAAAAAATAAAGACGATGTTTGTTAAGACATAATACATTTTTAACATTTCCCTAAATTGATCAAATAATTGAAATTGACGAAAACTGTATTTATTTTATTAAAATTTAATTAATATTCTTCTTAATTCTTATAAAAGAACCACAAAATTGCAAAATAAAAGGAATTTCTAAATTTAAATAAAAAATTTAACAAAAGCAAAAGTATATTTAAATATTTGAAGGCAAAGGTCTGGTAAGTTCAAGGAAAAAACCAAATTAAAGGAAATGTATTTATAAATAGCAAACGATGTGACTATGTAGTTCGCTCATATTGTAATTAATCTGATTTAGTTTGTAAGACTTAGTTCGTATGATTTAGGTGGCACAAAAAGTTGCGTTATCAATAGGTTAACAGAGCTGCAAAATAATGAACGTTAACTGCATCGATCTTTTTCTATTTACTCAAAAAAAGATTCAATTATTAAAATTAAATTTTAGTTCAGTTTCAGTTCACTCTTAAGTAATTATGTGCTAATTCAATTTAATTTATGTAACATTATACAATTAATTTCCAGAAAATATCAATTTTTTGCAAACATATTAAATCGATTCAGATTCGATTCTTTTTGCTGTTCTAGTAATGCATTTGGGAGATGCGCAGTATTTAGTTGACTTGTAACTTATAAATACAAGTATTTAAAAAAATCCATAATTTAAAAAAAAAAATAGTGTAGCATTGAAGAGAAACATTTTAAAATAATTATAAAAGTCGTAGTAAAAATTGATTTAATAAACATAAAACAGCAATTTCCTAATTTTGGAATCTAAAATAAAATCATTGGACTTCGCGTTACGTTAAATAGAAGTATTTAAGGAAATCCATTTTATTTAAAAAAATAGGTTAGCATTGAAGAGAAACATTTTAAAATAATTATAAAAGTCGTAGTAAAAATTGATTTAATAAACATAAAACAGTAATTTCCTAATTTTGTAATCTAAAATAAAATCATTGGACTTCGCGTTACGTTTTTCTGAGTGTAGGGGGTGTAAACGGGTATGTGTAGTCGATAATTTATGCGACATTTGCTAGTTTTCCCTATAATAACTTCTAATGTACCTAACACTGGCCTTTTGGGGGTTGTTTTGCTTGTTGTTGTTGTTGTTCTTTATAGTGTCCGAAAATATGCAAGAAAGCTGCTGGATGCCGCCGTGTTAATTTATGACTTCGGGCATTCAAATTTATGAACTACACCCAAGAAAAATATAAATAAATTCGTATATTAAGCGAGTAACATGTTGGTGTGAATTAAAGGTAATGGGCTTCTTACGTTTCCCATCGAGAATCTTCTCGACTGTTGTCCGCATTACATAAGCAAAGCTGCTTTCCATATATCATTTCCGTGCTTCTTCTTCTTCTTCTCGTAACTCGTGTAAAGTTCACTGCACTTGCTGCGGTCCAGGAATTGTGCAACGCGCTTCGTTCTTAATGGAAAAAACTCGTTCGCAAGCCTCCGAAAAGCTTGTAAGCTGTCAACGGCAATCAAATTTAGCATTTTATTAGCGTATCGGGTATACGAGTACAACACCTGGTGGCGTTGTCATCGGCCGCTTCGCCTCATGCTGCTTTCACTGCAACGCGTATTTGGTAATCACGGCGCTTGCCTCACGACGCACAGTGTGGCATAAATTACACACGTTTTTCGTTTAAATCAATCGAGTGAACTATCAATTGTAAGCCAGATATAAAAGCTAGACTGCAGAAATTCGTGCACTGCTTTCTTTCGTTTAAAAAGCAATTTTTTTTAAACTCAAATCCGAAATGTAGTTTTTAAATAAATCTTCAGCTTTTCATACTCTATTATTATCGGAGAATTAATATCTTAATATCTCCATTAAATATTTAGATCGATACCAATATACCCAACAAAACATATTATCGAATATTATCTAAATACATATTTAATTTTATGTTAATTTTATTTGTTCTATTTTTCTATTTTAATTTTAACATAACATTTTATAATTAAAATTTTTATTTATATATATTTTTCCCGGTTGTGTTTTTATAATTAAAAGCTAGCTTCAGAGCTGAAATTCTTAAATATTATTCAGCACTTAAAGCTGAAATTTTTAAATGTTTTTCAACACGAAGAGGTGGTTCCCATTTATGCCAACATTTGATGAAAAAGAAACTTACAAACTGAAGAATATTCTTTTTTATACGTTACTTAATTAAAAATGGCGAAGTCTTAGGTAAATAAAGTCACTCAGTATACGCTTTTGTAGATCAAGACATATTCTATTCATCTTAAAATCGAAACTGGATCTTTTGCGAAACAGTTTAGAAAACTTGTGTAGAAATAAAGACAGATGTGGAAGCCAGAACCTGCTTCAGAAAGAGAAACCATCGTGTGAAGAAATAAATCAAATGATTGGCAATGAAGAGAGCACGGGTATATTTCAGAAACTTGCACTAAATTATTTATTAAAATTTTAATTAATTAATTATGGAGAGCTAAATTCATTCAAACATTTTTTTTTAATTTTTTAAAAATTAAAGTAGAGTTTTATTTAAGTCTTTAGTCTCACTGTTATTTTAAATGGATTTTCAATGAACTTTGCTTACCTTTTGACGTCTATGATCAAATCACATTTATCTCAGAACATACATTTATGTTGAACTTTATAAATTACGACACACAATAGTCAATATAATTTATGCATTCCTTTTATTAATATTTTATGCACTTATAACATCACCGAAAAATACAAATTTCGAAGACAAAGATATAGAATTATTTCATAACTGATCTACCACTGTGCAAGATGGTTCAGTGCCCTCAAATTGTGTTGACTATTTAACGTTTGGATGGTTAGTTGTCTGATCGGTTTGTTTGTCATTCGTTTCTTTCTTCTGCGGCTAACTTGATTTGCATAGAAACTGGGTTAAATGTGGCAAAGAACTTTGGTCTGTGTAAAGAACGGGTTTTGCCATTTTTTGTTTGTTGGTCAGAAAACATTGCGAAATATTTTACTATCATCGCACATTTTGGAGCGATGTTTAGCAATCAGTTGACCAACAAACTGATTATGGAAGTTGCACAAGTTAAGCTCGAGCTCGACTGTGGACAACAAGATAATGCAATTAAGTCTTGGAAAATCAAATGTCAATCACGTAGACAACATGAAAACCTGTTCGAGCTCTCTAACATTTCAATGACTTTGAACTTTTGTGTGAGCGTCTTCACTATAAATAATAATAAAATATTGGGCCTGTCGCTGTTTACTTGTAGGCTCATTTACATATTAATTATTTGTTTAACCCATATAAGAGGTGCTCCAACGTCCCACGCCACTTCCACTTTCATTGGAGCACGACTTTCTTTACAAGAGACCAAGATCACGATTTAATTGTGGTTTGACAAAGCTTTGTAAGACGTTGGCATCGGCATCGGCGTCGCTGTCGCCGCTGCAATCGCAGCCAGTGCTGGCAGCAAACTGGTTACGTCTGCGTCGCGGCTATCGCCTGATTCTTGACGTCGCACGATTCTTGTTTCATAAAAAGTCTTTGGGTAACTTTCTTGAGCTTCATTCGCGTTGGAATCGCGGCTCTAAACGTATCGTGTGGTTCGTTGAAATGAAAGTCGCATTATATCTGCTTCCATTGTTAGTTGGCGCCGTCGTTGCGCATCCAACACCTGAGGATGCCACAAGTAAGCCATCCTTACCCATCAGCTTTGCCAGCGAGGCTTCCCAGCTCATAGCCACGCAACTGCTGAAGCACAATAAAGACATCGACGCCAATCAGGTGCATTCCCCCTTGGGCGTTGCATCGATATTGGCGGTGCTGGCCGAGGCCTCATCGGGCGAGACCTATGCCGAGTTTAACAAAGTCTTTGGCTATCCCATGCAACGTTCCCAACTGCGCGAGGCCTACAGACGCATATTGGGCAACTATAAGAACCGGGATGCGGGCGTGGCACTGCCCTCTTTCCAAACCTGGCTCTACATCTATCGCAACTACACGGCGAACGATGACTACAAGCAACTGCTTCAACAGCATTACCACGTCGACGTAAAGGATATAAATCGCCAGGACTACGACTGGAGCGATCCCAACACCTCATTGACTTTAGAGGGCAGTGGCAGCGACCCCACTGAGCCCAGCAATAGCAAAGATGTCATTGGATTCGAGACTTTGAAGCGCATTAATCTGGATGATGATGCACCAACCACAATTGCCGACAATTACGGTGAGGAGGTGCTGAATAAGGAAGCCTCTAAACTGGATCGCGACATAGATGACAAGCAGTATGTGGAAAAACCTGTTGCTTTGGCCGAGGCTGAGCAGCTGAAGAAGAAACAGGAGGAGAATGAGAAGGTGGTGGAGAAGGAGAAGGAACAGCAGCCAACAACAACAGAAACACCCATAGAGTTAGCGGTCACTGATGCCTCAGTGGAAAAACAAGAAAAACCAGCTGTTGTCGTCGCTGAGGCAGAGGAAAATCTAGCGGATAAGCAACAGAACAAACGCAGCGATGCCGATCTGAATGTGGAGGAGAACGAAACGGTGCATGAGGATGAGAAGCTGCGCAAGCAGCAGCCACAGAACGGTGACCAGGTGCTGCTGACGACCGGCAATGAACCTGAGAAGGTGCGTCTGCCGTTGCAGAAACTGGAAAATGCGGTCAAGAAGGTGGCCAAGGAGACGGCCGATGAGATTATGATAGCGCTGGAATCACATCTCGGGGCAGTTAGCCGGGTAGGTGTTCAAAGAGATATTCTTCGCAAAATCTTAACTCTTCTCCTCTCTTCTCTAGGTTTATGGAGGACGTAGTCTCTTCCGACCCGATGATATTGCCTCTGCATTGAGCGCCAATTCCATAACAGGTCGTGCCGTTGGCAGCAAGACCAAAATGCTGCTGTTCAACGGACTCTACTATCGTGGTAGCTGGGCCCAGCCTTTCTACCAATTGCGTGATGCCGATGAGTTCTTCTTCATGACCAACGATGATGCAGTCAAGACACCCATGATGCACACCAAGGGCAAGTTTTATGTGACGGACTTGCCACAATTGAAGGCGCGTCTCTTGTCGCTGCCCTATGAGAATGCCAAATACGGTCTCTCCATCATACTGCCCAACGATCCCGAGGGCCTAGCCGATGTCATTGGCCAGCTGCAGCCCAGCGACTTCAAATATGCGCGTGAGAATGCCAAACTCTTGGACTTGCATGTGACTTTGCCCAAATTCCAAGTGGAGGAAACCTCCCGCTCTGAATCCATGCTGAAACAATTGGGCCTGAAGCGACTCTTTTCACGTAAGGAGGCTGAGCTGAACCTATTGTCCGACCAGGATGAGGACTTGCATGTCGATGAGATAGTGCAGTTCGTCAATGTACGTGTGGATGAGGGCGGCAGTGGAGCTAACTCCTTATCTGCAGCCACCATGCAGGCTCGCACACCCACTCCAGATGCCACACTTCCTGTGCCGGAGCCCGAACCTGAGCCAGGGGTAGAGAAATTCGATGTAAATCATCCATTCGCATACTTCATCATCGACACGGAGGAGCAATTTGTGCTGGCATCGGGCAAAGTCTATGCGCCCGAATTCAAGGATGAGCTGCCACCCGTCTCCATTGAAGTGGAACTGGAACAGGCGTAGAGCACCTTTACAGATTTAAGTTGCATTACGAATTTCTCCCATAAACAGTCTCTCAAATAAAAACAATTTTCCATATTTGAAAAAATAAAACTCTGCGCTGCATTTTCCCAGACACTTCAGGCATTCAGGCCACAGTCAAATGGAGACCATTTGCTGCGCAATCAAAACAACAATTAATTCGCCTACTCGCAGGGCATGGGGCACTAGGAACAACCCTTGGAACTCAATTGTCTGTCAGTAAATGTGAAATGTATCTAGCGGCGGGCATCGCTAATTTCCGTGCAGCAAATTTGTCATTGCAATTGCCGAGTTTGTGCCGTAAGGGAGGGGTTGGCTTTGTTGACTCGAAAACGTGGTATCTCAACGATTCTCAGACTGGTGAAGCGTAAGGCGCATCCGCACATTGCACGCCACGTGCCACAAAACTGGCAGCCCTGGCGAATTGGACAAAACTTTTCAAGTGGTCAATGGGCTGCAATTAAAAATCTCATTAGAATGCATGATGTCTTCTTTTTCCAAATACTATTACAGCGCATATTAAGGCGCACACGTTCTCACAAAATACATACATACTCGTATATACACAAAATACTATATAGAGAGTATAGTCACACATACCGGGAACTCAAAGCAAATGCGAAAAGTAAAACACAACACGGAAAATGCGTCTCGAGAGAGGCATGGAGAGAGGGAGTCTCGCCTTTGTGGGATGCTGTGAGTTGTGAACTGGCGCCGGACTGTCGGGCGCCAAAAACCAGAGGTAAAAACAGGAGTAAATGCGTGCCATGATTATAGTGATGACGACTGCCACCCCGAAGCGATGCGATGGCGATGCCAACAGACGACAACGTTGGAGACGACGACGACGACGACCAAGAAGGCGACAGCGACAGCGACGGCGATGATGTTTCATCTTTTCCACATGAAAACTCACGTAACAAAAATTATGATAATCATAACTTACTTTTTTTGGTTTCGTTTTTTTTTTGTGCTCTTCGTCCGATATGGAACTTTGTTTTGTTTGCCCAGACACTGGACCCTGGACAAAGGAAGTAGCGAGCGCACACTTTCCGTCTAGGTATTTTGTGGGCCACTCTGTCGTCTGCTTTTTTATTTTTTTTATTAAGTCCTGCATATAAATCAATGTTGGCTGATATGCAGAGTAGCAGAAAAGGTATAAAAGATTTATGACATTTTTCCAGCGCATAGCTAAAGACTGTTATTTAACAGCATTTTTTCTAGTTTTAAACAAAAAGTGCTTAGCCTCGGATAGACACCAACATTGACAACAACAAGAATGCGTGTGAACCGCAAATTGTTTGCGCACAAACTGTACCGACACTCTACCGATAATGAATTGTTGCCACACACTTATACGCTTAGTTTTTGTGTAATTTTTTTTAAATTTTTATAGAGTTCTGCGTTAACTTTTAAAAACAGAAAAAAAGAAGTAGCGTTCATTTGCCCTTAAATTCGTCCGTAGTTAAAGCCCAAAGAGATGGGTAAAGTAGAAAATGTACTTCATTTATTGTACTTCATTTCATCACATAACTGGTTTTTTAAAACATTATTTCACTATCTGTGGATATAAAACAAAACAATAATGCTTGACATTGGTTGAATATGTTCAAATGATTTGAAAAATGTTAACGCGTTTTTTTCTGAAATTAGAAGGTAGATAGTAGAGTATTCGAAAATAAAAATGTAAGCAGTCAACAATTTTAATTCGACTTATTTCAATATCAGTACCAGAGATAAGTACATATGTCACCAAACATAATATTTAAATCACAAGCACTTAAGTTTTTAAATAATAGCTCTTGTAAATTGAGAATCGAAAATAAAATTAATACAAAAACAATAGTTCGATCAGTGCTGGTCGAATTTTAGAATTAATTTATATAATATGGTTATGTTATTTACATAAATAAAACAAGAGAGAACGCTACAGTCGAGCAAGCCCGACAGTGTAATACCCTGTACCCAGGTAAACTTCCGTCACTGAGTTATATGCGCCCAAAGCAGCAGCAACAAGAGAGAACGCTACAGTCGAGCAAGCCCGACAGTGTAATACCCTGTACCCAGGTAAACTTCCGTCACTGAGTTATATGCGCCCATAGCAGCAGCAAAAAGAGGAAGAAGAAGAGCGAACTTGTTGCTGCAGTTTGGGGGGGTTGTACTGGCGAGAATTTGTTTTGCTAATAACTTTTCTTAGAATTGACCGAATTGAATAAAATTTTAAAAAACAGTAGACAACTATATATAAATTATGTGTGCAAAGTTTGGTTTAGGTAGCATTTGAAATGTGGACGCTATTGACGAAATTTTGTAGCGGGGGAAGGGGGGGAAAATTAAAAAAAATAAAATAAACTCGTCCTTACTCGGACCTAGGAGAATCTGGATGCCAACTTTGGTTATTCTAGCTTTTATAGTTTCTGAGATCCTCGCGTTCATCCAGACGGACAGACGGACGGACAGACGGACGGACAGACGGACGGACATGTCTAGATCGATTTCTCTCGTCATGCTGATTCAGAATATATATACTTTATGGGGTCGGAGATGCTTCCTTCTGCATGTTACATACTTTGCACAAACCTAATATACCCTTTTTACCCTACGGGTACAGGGTATAAAAAGAGGAAGAAGAAGAGCGAACTTGTTGCTGCAGTTTGGGGGGGTTGTACTGGCGAGAATTTGTTTCGCTAATAACTTTTCTTAGAATTGACCGAATTGAATAAAATTTTGAACAACAGTAGACAATTATATACAAATTATGTGTGCAAAGTTTGGTTTAGGTAGCATTTGAAATGTGGACGCTATTGACGAAATTCTGTAGCGGGGGAAGGGGGGGAAAATTAAAAAAAAAAAAAACATAAACTCGTCCTTACTCGGACCTAGAAGAATCTGGATGCCAACTTTGGTTATTCTAGCTTTTATAGTTTCTGAGATCCTCGCGTTCATCCAGACGGACGGACAGACGGACAGACGGACGGACGGACATGTCTAGATCGATTTCTCTCGTCATGCTGATCAAGAATATATATACTTTATGGGGTCGGAGATGCTTCCTTCTGTATGTTACATACTTTGCACAAACCTAATATACCCTTTTTACCCTACGGGTACAGGGTATAAAAAAATCCTTACAATTCTAAAAAACGTACTTTTTTAAGCGATTTGTTTCCTTCCAACTTCAACAATTAGGGTAGAAAAGTCAAAAGAAAATAAAATTGTAAAATTTAAGGTATACTAATTTAAAGCCTAATGATTAATCTGTGATAATTTAATTTCTGTTTAATATCATCAGTGAGTAGACAAGTTATCAATATTCTTTCAATATTCATCGTTACTTTTTATAAATGTTTACGAATTTATTATTTTTTAATTCTGATTAGGTGACCTTTTACAGGATGTACACGTACTAACTTTGAAAAAAGTATTTAAAATTCGAGTGATATTATATACTTAAGAAATATATATATATATATATAATACAAGTATATTTTGTGTTATTTTGTAAAGACGGCTGCACATTCCAAATTTCAATAAAAAGCTATCTTTCAATAACAAAATGCTTCTAATACATTTCGTAAGATATTTAAAATATACACTAAAGAGAGTTTAGCAAAATGTATATGACCTCTTTGGCAGTTCTAACTAAATTTGTTGTTCAACGATTGCTTGTTGCTTTAAAAAGTTTTCAAACGAATTCGGATTTTGGGGGGATCGTGAAGGGCCACCACCCCCAACAACCGACAATAAATAAATAAAAACATGCGTACCATAAATTCATGTAATTGCATCAAAGACAAAGCATTCCTTAGGCTGCCAGACACGCCAAGATTTATAGTGCTTTTCAAACCTAATTGCAAAGTAAATATGTCGAATTAAAAAAAGAAGGAAGCCCGCACAAGTGCGCAACACAAGTGTGGGAATATAGGCGCTATATTAACAATTGCAGCTGTTTTCCAAGAAGTTCCAGCTTCAAAATACAAACTGGAACATTTCTTAGCATGCCACAGAGCGGGAGGGAGTTGAAAAACATGTTGACAATGCCGGCGTGAAATTAGAGAATCGAAAACCGATGTGTGGCACCCGAACCGGAGAAAGGGGCAGAGAGAGGGACGATCTTAGTGTGTCGAAATCGTCACCATATTGGTCCGACATACATACATACTTGTATATATATCAAACGACGGCTACGCCACTTGCCCAATTCGGAATTAAAAATCTCATGTGGTTCATCAAACACTCTCTGTACAGTAGACATAAAACACCAAAATATATGCAATCCGAAAAAGAGTACAAAATACTTTTTACAGTTGGCGCCGATTAGAAATCAGCGAAAGCCTCTTCATGGCGCATCACCTTGGCCTTTTCTCGGGGCTTGCTTTCGGGCAATTTGTCGAAATTGGAAATATCCTCGGGACTGCTGATGTTGGGCACATAAGGAGCACGCAGCTGTTGATTGAGCAGCGGTATCCAGTCGAGTTCTTTGAACCACTCATGATCCTTGATATCCTTATTGCCATTAATCAGATTACCATAGCTATGAGGGAGAGATGGAGCGTTGTTATGTATAATCGAACAGGGAAATTCTCAAGACTCTCAGAGGTTTTCAACATACTTGTGAAATATAAATTCGTCGTACCGTAATTGAGAACTTACCGCTTAGAGAGATCGACTTGCAACAAATTGTCGACCAGATGGCGCAATGCATGGCTAAAGGAACTTGGCATCTTATAGTCACCATCACAGATTTTCGAATACATGGCCATCACATCACGATTGCTGCCCGAGAATGGTGAGTGTCCGGCCACAAACTCAAAGATGAGTATACCGAAGGCCCACCAATCCACGCTGGTGCCATATGGCTTCGATTTTATGATCTCTGGTGGCAAATATTCGGGTGTGCCGCACAGCGTCATCGTGCGAGTCTCGACCCGCTTGGCAAAACCAAAATCCGTGACCTTTATGTAGCCATTCCTGTCCAGCATAATGTTCTCTGGCTTCAGATCGCGATAGAGCAGACTGCAATGATGCAAGTATTCGAGTGCCAGAAAGACCTGTCCGGCATAGAATCGGGCCTGTTTCTCGCTAAACTTGCGCACTCTGCACCAATAGAAGCGTAATGGAAAGACTGAGCCTGACTTAAACAACTCTCAAGTACCTACTTGCGATGATAGGTGAATAGTTCACCGCCTGAGATAAGTGGCAGTATTAGATATAGGGAATCAGTGTCCTTGTAGGAGGCTACCAAATGCACAACTGTTGGAAATTGTATAGATTTCAGCACCATTTTCTCGCTCATCACATGTCCTATCTGCTTGGTTTTCACAATCTGATCCTTGCTTAGCTGCTTTGAGGCGTAATAGTTATTGGAATCTTTATCCTTAACCAATTGCTGGGGGAAATCCCTTTTACTCGTATATGTAAAGCCTTATGGTATTCAACTTCATACCACTTTCCCAAAAGATCCAGCACCCAGGGTGGCTTTAATGATGTATTTTTCCAGGCCAGTGGTCGGTGAGGGTACATTTTGGGAAAATCTTTTATTAAAATCCTCCCGTAGCTTATCCAACAAGAGCACATATTCCACTTTAGGACTAAAGGTTTGCACCTCAGTCGTATTACGTGAACTCATTTTTTTCAGCGAATTTGGAAAATATGTATATGGAAGGAAATATGTTAACAATAAATTTTGTAAAACATATAAATTCTGTTGACATGTTGTTGATATTCGTGTGTGAAATTGTATACATAGATGACTGAGTAGATCGAAAAGACATAAGAAGAAAGCGTTCGCTTTTTTTTAGAAGAAATGAAATAGTTCTGGATGGCGATTCACTTTGGACTTTATTCTTGACTTTGATTCAAAATTATCGAAATTTGATATATCCTCAATATTCGATACTGTTGGTATATAGGGCGGATTGATTTCCTGATTTAGAACCGCATACCAGTCAACGCCTTGGAACCAAGCATGATTCTTGAGCTCAATAGCATCGTCTCCCGTGCTACCCAACCTAAAAGTGGTTACTTGAGTCAAATATGGGGATCAATACCTCTTAAGCTATTTACCGCTTGGCTGTTTCCACACACACCAAATTCTCGACCAGAGATTTCAGCTGCGTCGTAAAATAGGTAGGCACCCGATAATCCCCCATACAAATCTTTGAGTACATCATTATTACATCGCGATTATGTGCGGAAAATGGAGAACGACCAGCCACAAACTCATATACCAATATGCCAAAGGCCCACCAGTCGACGCTTTTATTGTACGGCTTCAACTGAATGATTTCCGGTGCCAGATATTCCGGCGTGCCGCAAAGTGTGGCAGTGCGTCCCTCCACGCGCTTAAATTATGAAATGAAAATCCACATCATTTCATCAATCGTTTTTTGTTTTTAAAACGATCAAAATATGTAAAAAATTATAAATACATCGAAGTCGCTTTTCTAATTATCGATAATTAAAAACTACAGTTATTAGCACTTTCTGCGATAGAGGGATTTTCCAACTCTTTTTTAATAAAAAATCAATTGTTGATTGGTTACCTTTGCTTAACAAAGTTAACTGCCAAGCTCCAAGACAACATAATCAACACAAATGTATAGAACTTTTTATAATAACTCCGTACCTAAGAACGTAGTTCGTTCTGCAGGAAATGGACGAACAAACAGGAGGAAACGATTTACATACTTGTATGTCTATAGTCTGCTAAAGCTTTATATCGGGTGCGTTCAGCAGATTACTTGGATGAGTGATTTCTGATTGATAAATGCTGATCCGTGCCAAATGTTTCTTCGAGGAAACCATGCCATACTAAGGTAAAAGATGAATTTGTTCAATTTGTTCCTATTAGGGTCACTACCTTATTCGAGATATATAAAATAGCAAAGTGCCCCAGTAAGCTGATTAAATGGCAATCATCAATCGAAAATCACAAATTAAAATTACCTGCTAAGCGAACCCAATGAAAATAATGTAAAAATCATGAATATAATGGATGTTATTTCTGAAATAAAAATATTAAAAGTAATATAAATAAATAACTATCGATTTCATTTAAAATCGAAACTAGCAGAAGTCGATCCCAACGGTAACAATAAGTAGCATGTGATTAAGTGCTTGATTTATCAGCATAGATGTATAATTCTTATATAAATAAAGCATATGTTATTACCTTGGCAAATCCAAAGTCGGTTAACTTGATGTAGCCCTTGGCATCTAGTAGTATATTCTCCGGCTTGAGATCCCGATAGAGTAGGCTCATGCGATGCATATACTCCAAGCCAAGTAGAACCTGTGTGGCATAAAATCGTGACTGTTTCTCGTTGAATTTTCGAACTCTGCAACATAATGGAGCATATTTTCTGGTGGCAGCGTATTAAACATTAAATCTAGCTACTTACTTGCGATGATAGCTAAAGAGTTCGCCGCCATTGATAAATGGCAGCACCAGATAGAGATAGTCAAAGTCCTTGGTGGAGTCAATTAAATGGACCAGGAAGGGAAAGCGGACAGCATTCAGAACACTCTTTTCATTGTGGACATGCTGAACCTGCTTTAGACGCACCAGATCCTCTTTATTCATCATTTTGGCAGCATAGTAGTTCTTCCCAGAACGCTCCTTCACCAACATCTGATTAGATATTCATAATTAGAAATTATCCGAGATTTTGCGTCATTTAATAACACGCACCACAGTGCCAAAGCTGCCGTTGCCCAACACTGCACGCTGCAAATAATTCTCCAAATTTGTGTATGGGGATGGCTGAGTTTGGGTCCAACGCTCATCAAATTCTTTGGCCAAATTGTCGAGGGTGATGGCATAATCCTCTTTGGAGCTGAAGTGAGACTGTGAATAATGATGACTCATAATTGTGGGCCAAACGTGTGGTTTGAAGACAAAAACAATAAAAACTGTTTGAAGAAAAGAGTACGCGGAATTTTGGAAAAATTTACACAATTCTGTTCAGGAATAAAATTCCTAGTTGACTTAAAATCCAAATTCACTTGCCACCCAGTCAATCAATCGGTCTTGTAAAGTGCTTGTTTTTTAAGGTTATTCATTCAATTAGCTGGGCATGGCCACAGAATTAGGCCAAGGTATGACAAATTTGCAGACACGGACAAGTAGAAAAGGCAATTTCCTGACTCTCCTTCCTGGCTCGGCGCACACACATGTCACTGACTTCTTGCAAAAGTAAGAAAAATTGCGGTACGTCCACTTGATAAATGATGCTAACCAAGATTACATAAGTTGGTAATTTTCTAGTACATTTATTTCTATATGTCAGCCAGTCAGCCAGTCGGCCCAGCCGGTCAGGCCAGTAGTTTGCCAAATAGCCAACTCGTTGGAGTAACCGCACGAAATTTTTGACATTTTGCAGTTGGCATCCGAAGTTAGGTTTGATGGACATGTGTGTGTCAGATAAGAGCGTGTGTATGTGCGTGTCTGTGTATGTATGTATGTGTGGAACGCTCAAGTTGTTGCATGCTTTTAAGGTAACTTCCGCCTCTGCCTGCCTCCTTCATTGGCCATTTCCACTTCCATACTCGTTTAATAGGCATGTGCCAACCGTTTTGTCATTATATGTGGGACGGTGTGTGTGTGTGTTCTGCTGTTGTGCCCAAAATTGACAATTAATCATTATCTTTGTCTAACTATCGAAAACCTAGTGTATTGGCACTCATCGCCAGCTTTGGTTTTGGGGTTTTCGAAATCTGTCTTCGCTTAAATGTGCTCTAATGTGACGGCATTTATTTTGAAACCTACATTACTTGTTACGGCGGGGGGACAATTGTTTGGCTTAAGTCGCCTTTTCTTGAATTTGTGAAATGAAGAAAATACATCGCTTTTTATTGCTTGAAGCGTGAGTTCGTCTGTAAGATGCTTAGATATTTCCGGTACATTCATTTTTGAGAAGAAATGCAAACAAAAATTTAAAACCAAAATATCAAATAAAAATTGATTAAATATTCATGAAAGCAAAGGCTACTACTTTGCAGAAACTTTTGAACTGAACAGAAAACACAAATCCAAGGATAAACTCTAATAATAAATTTGGGCTTATCCTTATCACTTTTCTATTGACACTTAATGTTGCAAACACTAAAAGCACAAAACTATTCTTCTGATAAATAAATAAAATACAACTAATAATTTGTTTATAAATAAAATATATTAAATATAGTAGTAAGGTTGTAGAAAAAGCTGAAACGGATATATATATTATTTGCTTAAATAATTTAAACAAAAAGCTACAATATCTCCTTGAATCTTCTCCTATAAAATGAATTCTTATAATTGAATGCATAAGTATGAAAAAGGGGCTTATAAATTTATCCAAATAGCTTTATATGTTTAGCTTTTAATTTACTTAAAATCATACAAATTGTCACGTACTTGGAGCGAATTACACATGTAACGTACACACATATCTCCCTAAAACTCTCACTTTTTGGCCGAATTAGAAATCGTGCAAAAACTAAACAATTTCACTCGGATTTTGCCTCCCCTTCTCGACCACTCGGCCAAATCTTGGCTCATTTAACTTACAGCCGCATTCAGCGAGCCCCCCATATCCGACCCGCACTTCAACTTTGCTCTAAGATATGTTAACGACTGCCATAAATAAGCGGATAATATCAAGCAAGTTGGGCCATGAATGTATCCATGGCCATATGCCTATCCTATATGTATGGGAAGGATAGGAAGGATGGGAAGGATGCGTTGCTTAAGCAGCTCGCGACCAGATTAAGTCATACGCACACGTTTCACTCTCGACCATTTCTTTTAGTGGCTCGGCCTAGGCAACACTTAAAATTCATTAGTTGTATTAGTCGCTAGATATCTATACCCCCTCCCCCTCCCCATGCCCACCCTGCTTTACTGGGCTTATGCAAAGTAATTGACGCCTCGATGAACTGTTGACACACATGGCATTTGTCTTGGAAATCTTCATCGTCGTCATTGTCATTGTCTTGGGCTAATATTTGGTTAAGATATCAGTGCCATTTTTTAGGCTTAAGTAGGTGAAAGTGTAACTGTAGCCGCCTCTCCACACAGCCTGCAAAATGGCCAAATTCAATTATGCTGAAAGGTTTCACTCTCAGTTCAGTTGCCACCCTGCCCCACCCACCCTTGCACTATTTCTACTCGTATTCCTACCCATTAGCGCTAATCTGGGCACAATCAAAAATAAATCATTGCTCTGCACGCTGACCGGAAAATGCATTCAATGCTCACAGTTCGCTGAGCATCGACAATCGCACCTTATAGAAGGCGCCCCCTTTCCCTAACCAACTCTGCCGTTGCCGCTACCACCAACATAACCATCACCATCACCACCACCTATGCTGCCAACGTGTGCAAAAGGTGTAACTAATCCGCCGATTCTGGTATTGTGTATAGTACGTGTGTGTGTGTGTGTGTGTGTGTGTCTGAGCATGTGACTTTGTCATTTTGCCATCGCTCTGAAATCTGTCGAAATTATACACTCAAACAAATAACTGCCTTCAAATTAGTGAAACAAGTTTTATTCTAAATTGGTGGCATTCTTTAAAGAAAATATAAGAGAAAGTCTTTTGTAAGTATTTAAGTCTTGGAAATGTTGGCTACTTCCCTATTAAGATATCATTTTCGAGAGCTTGATCTGCCATTTTGTTGAATTAAAAGTATACTTAAGATTACGAACCCTCCATTTTTATACAAAATAAATACTAATGATAACACAGCAAAGACAGGAAACAATGTAATGGTTAGAAATTTCATTCCTATTATAAAACAAAGAAATTCTTTTATCGAGATATATCAGTCTATTGTAAAGAAATATTACTGTTTTCTTTTTAGAAAATAAAAATTACAAGCATTAAATAGTTTATTTCGGCAAAAACTCAATTTCTTAATTCAAAAACAGTTTTTATACTCTGTACATGAAATGTACAAGAGTATATTAGGTTTGCGGGAGCTGAAAAATGTAACAGGCAGAAGGAGGCGTGGCAGACCCCACAAAGTATATATATTCTTGATCAGTATGACGAGTCGATCTAGCCCTGTCTGTCTGTCTGTCCGTCTGTCCGTCCGTATGAACACCTGGATCTCAGAGACTATAAGAGATAGAGACACCAAATATTGCACAAAGATGCGTTATGTGTGTATTCTATACGAGTTTGTTTTATTTTTTTGATTTTCCCCCCCACTTCCCCCCTATGGGGGTTTTCCCGATTTTCCATTCGTATAATCGCCTATATCTCGGAGACTATAAGACCTAGGAACACCAAATTTTAGTCCCAGATGCCTTATGTGAATACGCAGAAAATGTATATTTTGGAATTCCCCTCCCTCTCCCCTCTACCCCGCAAATCGTAACTCCCGTAATTCTTGGAATTTCGAACTAAAATTTTGGAAATACCCCCAGTTGGTTATTATGTGTCCGTATGCCAAATTTCATTATAACCGATTTAACAAGAAGTTATAGCCATAAATATATTTGCTGATGCAGCGCTGCTGCAGCGCTGCTCAAGCGATGCCCGCGGTTGTTGTTGATGTTGCTGTTTGGTTGACTGCGAAAATGCTTACACAGACACGAATAGATGCGCATAGGCATACATACACTCACACAGACGCAATTGCTATGTAAATGTGCAATTATACACCCTTTACGTGAGTTCGAATACCGAGAGAGGTAAAATCGATCAAATTTTTTTTTTATTTTCTATAATTATTGTAAACATATGTACAGAGTATTTCAAAGTCGGGACACCCGACTTTAGCTTTTTTACTTGTTTAAAAACAGTTTAATAAGGAATTCCTTAAAAAAAAACAGATTTCATTTTCCTTTAAAATATAACTTAATTTAATATAATTTAAAATCAGTAATATGACTTAACTTTTTAAAAAACAGTTTATTGAGTATTCGAATCATATTACGTCTAAAGTAATTATTTTACAAATGCAAATAATTGATTTGCTTTCAATAACGATTTAATTTTGTTTTTCTGAGTGTGTAAACCCTTTGCAAATGCTAACGATTTTCACTTAATTCAACCCCAAAACTTGTCGACCACCATTGCCACCGATGCCACCTTCCAGCGCTCAACTGCTGTTGTGTCCGTTGTGTTGCATGTAATCCACTGATTTGGCCACCGCCCTTCCCAGCGGGTGGTCGCTGCCCTGACATTTTGCCGTTGGCTGCCGTTTAAGGTAATTCTTGGCAACACAACGCCGCGTTGTCTGCCTTTTGTGTGCCGCAGCCAAAAATGTTTTATTATTTATAATGTGGAAAAGGTAGGTAGGGACAGAACTTAACAGGACGGGATGGAGGGACATCATATGGAGCGACGACTGCTTTGTATGGTTGAGTTTGGCATTTGACTTTTCCCGCAGCTGAATTTGCTGAAGTTGCTCACCTGGCGGGGGGCAGGTTTACAAACATGCCATTGGATAGCAGCTGCAAGCACCGACTTATTCGATACAGGGTGTTATTACCATTTCTATCTTTAGAAAAAAAAATGTCCAGAAGTTATCCACACAATTTCAAAAAACCGTGTCTGTGAAACTTAATGGTTATACATATTGGAAAAATATAATTTGAATTAATTTTTTGTAGATTAAAATGCAATTGTATTTATTTAACAAGCTATTTTTAAAATTTTTAATTGCAATAATAAAATTTTATTTTATATTAAGGATGTTCGTCTTCGTTCAGAAAATAAATTATCCACTTGTGATAACAGAAATATAGTACGGGATAAAGACTTGCCATTGTAAATTATGTAAGTAACGTGAAAAAACTGCATTAATTATCGTTTCGAGACGTTTCGTGGATTCATTTGCTGAATTGTTCATTTTTAAAGTAATTACTCGTCTAAAAACAGAATCAATGAATTGGCATCTTTTGAAGCAAAATTAACATGCAAGTTTCCTCTCTGCCCTGGTCCAGGTTTACTCCAATCTGAAGGCCCCACTGATAATATACAGTATTATGCCGTTGCCCCCCTAAAAATTTTCCATATAAAGTCGCCTTAAAATGCATTATTTAATCAAAATTTTTATTTTTGGACAACCACCCCCATCCTTTGGTAAAAGCTAGCTACGACCATTGAAATCTTCATGATGAGCTCGTAAGCTTTGCTAATTACGAGTGGTTATTAAGAAGCCAGGTTAGGATACCAAGCACAGCAGCTTTTTGTTTCAACGCACAGTTTATTTTCAACCAGTTTCATAACTTGCTTTTCACCTTTGCACGTCTGTTATCCTGTCATTGGTTTCGTTACCGAAAAGGTTGCCGATACAGCGTTTAAGACCATCACATTAGAATAATAATTCGAAAATTATTCCATGTTCCTTAAGAAACAATAAATAAAAACAAGTAAGCCTTAGTAAACATTCTACTGGACAGTTTTGTTTTTTCTAATAAGTAGACATTAAAATTGATCATAAAAACATAATATATCACCCTGTATTGTTGAGAGGGTTGCCTTTTCACAACCTGCGCAACATAAATCAAACGTTTCAACTATTGTCATAAATCAATTTGCATATGACATCAGGTTCCACATGGAGACCACTCATATTTTGCATACATATGTATATAGAGTGTAGTCTAAATGGTATCATTGTATCTGGGAATCTAAGCGCCTGCGCTTCTATACTGGCAATAGGTTTTCTTTTTGTGTAAACTGAATGGATTCGATGGCAAACAAATTTCACATTTATGCCATTCGGCCATTGGCAATTGGCTGGACAAATGCATTGGCAAATAATAAAACAAAGGCCGCATCAAAACAATTGTTACAATTTTAAACATTTGGTAATAAATAAACATGAGCTGGTTGCTGGGTGCGTGGGGAATTGGAATTCGGAAATGCAAAATGTTGCACATTTTATTTAAATTCAATTAAAGTCGTATTTCAATAATTGGACACGCATGGTGCGC